CTATGGAGGAGAAATTCAAATGAATTAATACCATTGTGGTTCATTGTGCTGTCCACTTGCGACACGACACCAGCAGCAGGAGGTGTGCAGGTTCATGAACTATCCTCTTGTTTTTAGGAAGAGACTCTCTGGTTTTATTGTTCTGAAATAATTACAGACTATTTGGAGTTATGAGGGGTGCCAAGCTAATCTTGACGTACCCAAGATTAAACATTAAATAGCTGGAAATGAGCAGCCATGGGCTCTTAAAAGTCACAATGACATCTTCTACATACTGCTCAACACAACGCTCAAGGTGTCACAAGCCCCATTTCCCTTTACACATACTTCATTGCGAACGTTAATGTCTTTGGAATGTTTTAAAGGAACACTTACAGCATCGTGCTAATCTCTGTGAGCTCCATGTGAAACACGTCTCATACTGCAGTCCTTTACACATTTTTTTGAAAAGGATAATAAAAGGAAATGAAGCAGAGAGAGCTGTGATACGACTGGCAGCAAATCATCATCATCATGTCATTTCTTGTCTTGTGTTTGAACCTTCAGAATAATTCTGGCAGAGGTGGGACAAAGTCATTAGCGAATTTCAAATCTGATCTTGTCATATTTCTGGTTCGGTATGAAAAAGGAAGTCTGGAGAACCCACGTGCAGACATCAAGCAGTCAGGCAGGTTCAGTGAACAAATTATTTATTTAAATAATTTACTGAACCAGGCAGGGATAACACAAGGTGAAGTCAGAAAAAAAACGTGGTCAGGAACTGGCAGGCAAACAGTCCAGACATGGGAACAGATGAAAGCCAAAAGTCCCAAAACAGGTAAATGTCTGATAATCATCAGACCAGTAATATAAACAATGAATTTTAGGGAACAAGCAAAATCCAACTTCCAGGTCATGAGAGGATTGAGGACTGAGGAATGATGGGGCATGAGAAGCAGCCTAAGAGTCTTGAAGTGAGAAACATTTATATAAAAAACGTGGGAATATACCCAATGGTAAGTGTGCAGGTGAGGCTGATGACATCAGGTGACTGGGAACAGGGGGGATGTGCAGGGACATCTGGTGGCAGGAGGGGAAATGGCAGGAGAAAGGCCAGACTACCAAGAACTGAGACAGGAACTGTGACAGGGCCATGAAGTGCCAAGTCAGGTCCTGACTCCTTTGTGTTTTAGATCTAAATAGGTCCATCACCAAGTGTAATGCCATTTTACATTTTAAAGAATTAAGAATTAGTTTATTTACAGAATGAATGAATGTTTTAAACCGTTTTATTTATTATCTTTTAAATACCATTTACTATAAAGACAGTTAAAAGCAAAGTGATCAGATGTACTTTGGAATGTTGTTCCTGTGGCTTAGGTTTAGAAACTGCTGCATTTGATAGTAACCTACTGACTTTGCATGTCTTATTTTTAACAAGCTGCTTGATTAAGTACTTTGGGGTCCTGGTTCAGAGCTGTTGTTCAGCTTTAAATAATAGTTGATAGTGAAATGATGAAATGACATATGATATCAGTGAAAGTGTAAGTGGGACAAAACTGATGCGAAGCAGCTAAATCTTTTCACTAAGATTCACCACTGGGTTTTGTCCCAGAGGGACATGGCTAATTCAACTACAAAAGCACAGACTTCTTGTGATATTAGGATGAATATCAAATACATTTTTTAAACAGAGAAAGGACATCGAACATATCCAGCTTCAAGTACCAAACATCTGCATGTTCAAACATTTCATTCAATGCAAAATGTGGCCTAAAATCCCTGATCTGGATCATCTATTAGGCTATGATAGGCAGTTATACTGTGCATCTTACCTGAACATTTCAGGGTTCTATCCTCATTATAGACCAAGTTGTGGCATAAAATACTGTATGTTAAATGGGGTTTTCAATGTTAAGTTTAAATGGCATCAGATCTGGATGAAATAACTTAACTAGCAACATTTAATTTCAGTTTTAGTTACAGTAGCCCACCCTCTGTACTGCAGTGTCCTGCCTGTGTTATTATAACAAGACAACCATTATGCACAGATGGCTGGCATGATTCTCTTAGATCAGTTTTTCAGCAGTTCAGATAATTTAAACGGGGGGAACACTTATACACATATCACAGTTCTTCACACAGCAGTCAGCCCCTCCAACATCTTGTCAGAAACAGGCTTAAAAATAAAGTTCTTTTTTTCTTCTGCCAGCAGCTGCAGCTGATACTATACATCAAGTTATGGAGACATTGCACACATCCTGGTTATATTAGCAGTTATTCATGACTGTTTGGACAGCTTTTTTCAATATTTAATGTTCTTCAAGTCAAGTTTAATCACATTTTTGCCTCAAATATAAGTCAAGTATTCAGTCATTCAAGCCACTTGTAACTTGAGGGTCACAGCATGTAAAGTTGCAAGCAGTGCTGGGATGCTGGAGAGTTCTTTTTCCTCTGTATATACTGGATGTGAATTTCAAAATGTATTATTTTGAATTTTTGAGTGTAGAGTTTGTGCACGGCCCTGCAATGGACCGGCAACCTGTCCAGGGTGTACCCCGCCTTTCGCCCAATGCCAGCTGGGATTGGCTCCAGCCCCACCCATGACCCCGTCCAGGACTAAATGGTATAGAAACTATGATGAGATGAGTTTGTGCACCTTTCAGGTGCACTTTTCAGGTTTCAGACAAGTGCAAGACATAATAATGTGAGTGGAAATTAAACAATATGCATCATTATCCCCTTAGAATATGAAGCTCTAACATATTTAAAATTGTTAACATGAACTCAGTGTTACTATGGGGTGGGGTGGTGGAATGGTGGCCAGCACTACGCCTCACAGCAAGAAGGTTTCGAGTTAGAGTCCAGGCCGACCTGATGCCTTTCAGTGTGGACTTTGCATGTTCTCCCTGTGCCTGCGTGGGTTCTCTCCAGTTACTCTGGCTTCCTCCCACAGTCCAAAGACATGCAGCTTAGGTTGATTGGTGGCTCTAAACTGCCTGTAGGAGTGATTGTGGGTGTGTGTGGTTGTTGGTCTCTAAGTTTCAGCCCTGTGACAGACTGGCAACCTGTCCAGGGTGGACCCTGCCTCTCACCCAGTGTCATCTGGAATTGGCTCCAGCCCGCCTGGAATTCAGGAATAAGTGGTTTAGATAATGGATGGATAATGTTACTGCAATAATTGTGTTGATGTCTGGTGTGTATATATTTTTAGAATAAATATACAAAACTTTACCAGCATCTGTTTATGTTGTGTTGTGTCACTAGCAGATAACCTGGAGGTATTATAATCAAATTGCAAAACATTTATTAGCCCTAACTGGCACTAACATTTGTGTAACTTACCCAAAATGCAACAAGGAGTCTCTCCAAAATCTGCAGGAGATACCAGGGTAAGAGAGGGTATGGAAAAGGACTTTCAACTGGCCTCAGGGAAGTTCTGGCAAACTGTTAGACAACTCTGCAAGCAGTAGCAAACCGATTTTGGCCGATGCTAATGTATGTTCGGCAGCAGAGGACAGCTGACAGTCAGTCAGCCAGTCAGTCAGGTAACATGTGTACTGCTTAAAGATAAACTTAGTCAAAGTACTCAAGTGTGTTTTTAACACTGTTTATGGTTGTGATGGCTGTAATGGCTGGCAATTAGTACGGTAACATAAAGGCAGGAGAACCCGGAGCCTTTGTCAACACCAGACTTTAGAGTGTAAGCACATGGTTATCTACAACTAAAATAATTTGGATAGGTCTGTCATTTCAACAGGGGAAAGATAAAAAGAACTGTTTAAGAAAATGTTTCACTGTCTGAAGGTGATAATGCTGGAGTGCACTGTCAGGCGTTTTCTTCCATGTGCAATGTGACTGGTTGGCAGTAGGTTGATTCACAGTACCGGTAGTCAGGAATTTATAGTATTTGCTGCACAGTTTTTGTAAACATATTTTAATCTTTGGGTCAAAAAGCTCAAGTCAAGCTGAAGCCACATGTCAAAGTCAAGTTGCAAGTCAAACAGAAGTCTGAATCAGGTTCATGACTTGAGTCTGACTTGAGTCCAAGTTGTGAGGCTTCAGTCCACACCCAAGAATTCTGGTATATTTTTGGCTGGACGTGTAGGGCTCTGCTTCATGATTATTATCAACTAATACAAAGAAGTTCTGATGAATTATTGCAGTGCTGGGTGTGTATGTGTAAATGTGGGTAGATAATACAATGGAAAGCCCCCAGAGTGGGAGAAAACAACCCGAATGTAGACCTGTGAGAGGTCTAGAAGGAGAACCTCTTCCTACATGAACCCAATTATATTTTGAACATGAATGATGGGTCCTTCAGAGTGGCATGTAACTTGGGGTCAAAGGCGTTACAGCCCAGGCACTGTGAAGACATGATGGTACATGATGGTGATTGACCAGGAGGCCCTGCTGATGTGAACAGGATCAAGTTGAGTGCTGATTAGCAACAGGAGAGCCTTTGTCTCCGCCATGTAGCACAGGCACTGTAGCAGCATAGGTCATGTGAATTGTCAGGCTAATGTGGACATCATTGTTCCATTACAACAAAATGTCAGCATTATGTGACACAGTTCATCACTGAACACACAATTAGAGCTGTGCTCACCAGACCTAGTCTTGCCTTATACTCATTAATAAACTGAGATCTTATTCTTTTCTTAAATGAGGACCATATGCATGGACCTGCCACACCCACCTTTCATGTCTTAGGTTTATTTCAATGTTCCCTCCAGAATAGCATGACTTGGAGCTGAAGTTGAAGGTTTTCAAACCCCCAGCCCAGAAATCAAGCCCCCATACCCATAGTAACATGACCTATAGTGTATTTTTGGACTGAGATCAAGCAAAGCACAGTGACCTCTCCCTCCAAACTAGAGCTCATGAGAGCCCTGTTATCCAGAAATCGGAATATCTGAGTCACTGGTCATCATCCCTTCAACATGAGGTGAGCAAAGCAAGTCCTGCTTTCTCATGGCATTTACTGGGCCACAATGGATTAATGTATAAATCTCACAACAGACTTTTATAATGGAAACTTTATTTCATAGCACAAACACACACAGCTGGTTCCACGTGTTGTATTACATTTCCTGACATTACTATCTAAGTATAAAGACTTTGCAATTGACCAGAATACTTTATTGCAATCAACATGCAAATTATGAAGAAACCAAATTCAAGAACTGGCAAAATAATGTGGTTGTGAATCATCAAGTGTACTAAACAACACTATGAAATGAAATTCTGTAAATGTTATCTTGTGTGTCTTAAAGCCTTCCATTTTCACTATTAGGATTTTTCCATCATAAAAACCTACCGAAATGTATAACACCTGTCCCACAAAAGTGGGTGGAGGGCAGTAGAATGTAAGAATGTAAATGTGAGAATGTAAAAATACTGGAGGGCACTGTAAAAATACAGTGGAAAAGCAAAACAGAATGGTTCATGACAGCCCATGAGGTTATGCCAGGTGATGGTTAAGGGAAGCACAAGGCATAACCCTTGTTAGGTTCCCATAGTGGAAACACAGCCCATGTGCTTCACACAGCACTGTCAGTCATTGTCAAAAACAGAAATATACATGGTTTGTGGTGTCCATTGCTGGAAATGGCACAGCTAATGGTACAGTGAACAATATGTATTAGCATGACTATCATGGCTATTAACTTCTATTGAGGTGAAAATGTTCAAAAACTCAGTAATTACAACAAATGTAGTGGTTACTGAAATGACAAAAGTTGCATACTTTTATACAACAAAAATTTAACAAGATTCATGGAGCTTAGAACAAAGTTGTATGATATTAATTGTCAAATAAATCCGTGTAAATCTAAAAAGTCATAAAAGTCTTAAAAACCTGTGTACATTGTTTTTTGGAGTTCATATAATATTCAACACATACCTAAAAAGAATATATATAGTAAAGAAACAGTAAGCATCATGAGGCCAGAATAATAAACAAAGCAGGTTCATGATCAAAATGCTGGCTGATAGGATGGAGTAGATGGGCAAGTGAAACAACAGCTAATAGATTAATTTTTACAAACACTTCTGAAAGCAAAATGACTGTCCAGCCAGAAATAATGTCATTGATTGAGTTAAATGCCAGGGAGTGGAGCTAAATAATGCACAAGTGTACAAAGGACTGAGACTGGCACAAGGCAAAAGAGGAGTGTCTGAAGATTCGGAGGCCTGATGATGGTTGTTAAATCTAGGAGTAGTTCTCCCACCAGAGACCTTGTGGCTATTCTGATTCTTTAAGAGCTCCCTCAAAGAGCAGAGCCCTTTACACCTGTTCTAACCCATTTGCCACAAATGGTCAATTTCTTGATATACTCTAAGTGTCTCTGACTGACCTCGCTTCTTTTCTCTTTCCACAGGATGATACAGTATGTTCTATATATGTCTTGGTAGAAATTCAATCAGTAGTTTCATTTGGTTTTGAATTTTTCACATCAGCATTCACACAGTACTCAAGTTTCCAAATGTAAGTTTAAATAGTTACTCATCACTGTAATTAGTCCTGTCTATAGTGTTTGTGAAGAAACTGGATGCAAAATCTACAGTCTTTGCTCTGTATTAAAATGCATTCTAAAGTTCAGCTGAAGCTAGCATGAGTTAGCTAAAACGAGAGCCATCCTTTACAGTGTAGTTGTGTTTGGAAAGGATTACTCCATAGTCAGTTTGGACAGGAGGAATTACTACAGCAAGACCATTTTTAATTTATATGTGTCCACATATATGGTATAATGAGATACATTTTAAACACTGCTTTAAAGGGCTATTAAGGCTTATGTTTGGGAAAGTGTCTGCTTGACTGACGTAATCCTTTCACTCAGCCGTTGCTCCTGTCGCCACCCAAATGTGAGCTTTCAGGTCTCAGAGATGACCAAAATGACATGTAGTGGCAAATTCAAACTGCAAGCATCAAAGTGCCATGTCAGAAAACCAGGTGGTTTTACAAATGTTACATTTATTTAAAAATTATCACACGCTCATTAGCCACTCTGCTAACATTTCATAAATGAACATAAAAAGAAACCTCTAATTTTCGAAACTTTACCACTCTGATGAACTTTAACTCAACCCATGAGTTTATTTCCACTGTTTGCTGTCCATTCTATTTACACACTGTAGAGACACATCCCAATATTATTTGAGACATACTGTATATGTTTGGTACACTGTGAGGTCAGGTGTTTGAATAGCATGCATTGGCGCTGGAAGGCTGGTGTTGATTCATCCATTGTCCTGTTGAGTCCAATATGCCTGCTTCAAGGCTGTTAAATACTGAGCGTCTTTTTTCTATATAGGTGCCATACTGGCAGGCCTACTGTGAGCTTATCTGCAGCACAAACTAGCTGTGCTCATTGGTCAACAAAGTTTACCTGATATGTCAGCTGATGGCCATTGTCCCAGGCATACAAAACCTTCTCCTTGGGGTTGTAGTCAATCTGGGTGGTGAAGGAGTACTCATTGGTGAAGGGCAGACGCGGGATGGCTTCAGTGTTGGTGTGGGTATCGTAAGCATAGTTCACCTCACCTTCTTTCTGGTTGTACACATCAACAGCATACAAGACACCACAGATGATAAAGCAATTCCCATAAGAGTTCCTCTTGAGCCCTGTCCTCCAGGTGGTTTCCTTTTTCAAGGACAGGTCTCCAGGATCCAGTTTACTGATGATGATCATCTCTTGCTGGTTGTAGTCATAGTCCACAGAAGGGTAAATCACCCACAGTCCACTTTCATCTACAGCAAAGTCAATGTCTGAGTGGCCCCTCCACTTCCAAGGGGTGGTGTCCTCATAAACCACATCATGCAGCAGTGTCCAGGCCGCCACGTATCGCATCCTCAGATCATACTTGATAATGTTCTTGGTAAAAGCCCTGTTGTAGTAGAAGGCTCCGTTATAGACGACATGGCCAGTTCCTATCCAGTTGTAAGGCAGTTTGAAAAGGTTGCTCCAACGGCCTAAGATAAACAACAACACTATGTTAGCTTTACCTATTTATTATAAGGGTCTAAGTTTTCACTTGACAAGGAACACATTCTAGTGCACAAACCAAATGACTCAAAAAATATTTGCCAGTATCTTCCAGCGTGTCTAGTACCACCAATGGCTGCGACATTCATCTCATCCCAGCTAGCTGCCAAAAGAGCAATGAGCAATAAACACAGCATCAGAAACATGCTGTATAATGGGGATATCACTCAGAGAGCCAGAGTTACTGTAGATACAGAACTCAGCTCACAAAAATCAGGACATAAGATTTGACTTGTACTTGACATATAGTATGCAATTAGCGTGATAATCGGATTGAATTGCCATTTTGTCTCTGTCTATTCAGCCTGAAATGTTCATTCTTACTAATCTCTTTTTTTGAAAAGGTGAAAATTCTGTTTTGCTTTGCATCAAGTGACATATCCATTCAGCCATCATCATTTTCAGTCAACATGTGCTGTGTATTGCGTTGGGAGCAGTTACAAGGAGCAGTTAACTCAACATTTTTACCATGATCCAATAAAATAGGCTATGCCAATCTCAGCCTGCACAGCTGAGTCAGTCTCCACACTTATCACTATATCTGTCTCTATTTTTAATTGATATAGCCCAGTTTCTAGTTATTTATGAAGGGGGACGATATGTCCTTTCTTAGGTTCCTGTTAACGACTAAACACTGTTACCACTATATACTGTATACAGTATTACCACTAATAGTGATGGCATTTATTGCCAGATGCACCTCAGTTGCTTTCTTTCATTTATCAGGCCCTTTGTTAAATTACATAAGTCACCTGTACAGTAGCTCATTAGCTTTTTATCTTGTCAGTATGTACTGTAACCTGACTCATATTCAATAGAGATCCAGACTACCAGCCTTGAGACCATATTTATAACTGGCCATGGACAGAGCTAAGCTACAACTGGACATCAGTGAAGATTTGTAACTTTGCATCAGAAGAGAAAAGCCACAGTATGTGAAGATGATATGAATCATAGCTTTAGTGGAAAATATTCAAATGTTTGATAAATCACTAGCTGCCCCGCCAAGGGAAGATGTAGTAACAACATAGTAGCTACCTTCTAGGAACTATATTTCAGCACACAGCTGCTATGGTTTCAGATGTTTCCACAGTAATCAGATTACCTCTATGCTTGATTAGCTGTATGGGTGGACAATGTGACTGCTGAGATGATGATTTTGTGCTTGTTGCCTGAGTGGTTGTTAGACTATGTTTTCTCTGCACAAGTACAAAGAAAGCTGCAACTGACATACAACTTATAATTTCTTGAAACTTTGCTTGGACTTGCCACAACAAAACAGCTCTTTGATACAATCCAAAGGAACCAACGTTGATAAATAAAATAAATTTGTTGAGTGGGAGAAAATACCAAGACAAATTCCTTGTATGCTTGTATACTTGGTGAATAAAGTGGATTGACTGACTGATAGTTCTTATTTTCTATCCTAACCTTCCAACTTCAGGAGGTCTGATTTAGACAGTGATAATAAATGAAAAGCCCAGTGAAGGACAAAAACAACATAGAGTAGAACCCCCCACCACCACTAGAATCCTCATCTCTTAAGCCAACCCACACTCCTAATCCCTCTCCGCTGTGCCCAGTTCAAAGCAAAGGCCTGAGCACATGTCAGGAAACAGCAGGCATCACCGCCACTCACCAAGGTACCTAGTCATCCGCACACAGCTGTGAGCTCACCCCACTGCAGGACTCCTCACATGTAAGTGCATTTAGAAAGCCAATTGTCCAAACATATCTACATCAACAATCAAAGTCTTGCGAAGGGAAATCATTGTAATGTGTAAGTGTAATCCAGTTTGTCTTTTAATTTGGCTATGTAAGGAGCTGATTTTCCCACCCACTGGAGACACAAAACAAGTGAGACCTGCATTCCACAGATGTCATCGACCTCACAGAGCTCAGCGGTTAATGAGCATGAATAAGTATCAACAATGTCATGCAAAAAAACACAGGTATGGAATAAAACAAAGCTCCCCATCCTACCCCGCGATGCACAAGAAATTCCTCCAAAGGTGGAAGTTAAAGACCTCAAGGCTTGACACTTCGAACTGCTGTTTGGAGCATAAGTGCAGACAACAGTCACAATAGTCCAGACGATTTACAGTCGCATTGACGTGACCCTCTCATTATCTGGGGTGAACTCCAACACAGTGGTCCTCAATCAAGGGGTTGTGAGTAACCTCACACCCACTTAGCATCTCTCACCCTGGGCAACTCCAGAAAAGAATTGAGTCCAGCCCCTCTCCAGAGGTTTGGTTCCAGATCCAGTGCTGTATGTAGAGGTGAGGCTAAATATACAGTATCTAGTTGGTACTTTGCTACCTCCAGCACCAGCTCCTGATCCTTCCCCATCAGAGAGTTCCATGTTCCTAGAGCTAGTCTATGATGCCAGGGATTGGCGCGCCCAGGTCCCTGCCTTTGCCTGCCACCCAGCTTATATTACACCCTTGCCCAGTTCCTATCGCTACAGAAGGTGGGCTCACAGGGTGACACAGTTCCAAACAGTCGGATTCATCGCAGTCCTTTGAATTGTTCTTTGTTAATGTATTTAAGTGTTTGGATCTGTACAGTATTATCACTACAAAAGATTTTAGATTGTTTTGTGAGTATAGAGAATAAAGCTGGTCAGAAGGGCCAAATTCTATTTCAGTTGTCCAGCGATATCTCGGCAAAGGTTCAAGTCGGCAGGAGTCGTGACACAGATTGTAGACTGTAGATGGATATCAGCTACTTAATATACAAAAGTGTTTTCTGTTAAGGATGGTTAAGGATGAAGCATTTGGTTTTTTTTTAAACTCTGATTAATAATAAGATTATGCTTTACTTTTGGCACTAAGTATATCTGCTTCTTAAAAAATACTGATATATGTATACTAGGTCATAGACTTTGGATATCTGCATGGATCTCAGAGGTGATAAACATAACATTATCTGAATCCTCTAAGCTATTTAAATGTGGAAAGAATAATGTGACATGCAGATTCTAAAGGTGGATTCATGGTTGTACATTATGGGGTCAGATATACTACCAGGGAAATGTAAATGCTTTTATATAATCTTGGTATTACAAAAACATTTTAATTTGCTACTTAAAATTGCAATAGGCAAGCTCTGGAAATAAAGCTATAGCGCTAGCATAGGACTCATATATAAATCCTCCTCCCAGCCCTCCACCTCCCTGCTCTAACACTTTAACCCCACCCAGCACTTCAATTAAATCCTCCTTGAGTTTGTTGTCTCAATACAGGAATTGTGAGCTCTCTAGCCTGTGGCTCAGCCTTAATGACATGTCTCAGTAGCTAATACTAGCATAAAACCTGAGTCCGAGAGTAGTAGTAGAACAGAAGTGTGTTCACATATTGACTGACAGCTGTAAGCTCCCACCTCTGACTTTGTCCTTCTCTGATTGGTTACAAAGGTGAGTCTCATTCAGAAACCTTTAGAAGGGATTATTGGGGCACTGTTGCCAGGCTGTTCAATGAGTCTGGGTCAGAGAAGCCTTTGACAATATCTCTCCACATTAAGATTTGTTTTGGAGCATATTTCAATGACAAAATATTAGAAAAAAGTTACATACTGTAACTTAAAGTACCAGCTGTGAATGAAATGGCTTAAACTTGTCTTTTGCTACAAGTTTAACAGTAAGGAAGTTTATGACAGCCAGCAGTTAGTCCTTATCAATAACACAAATCTAGTAAGGCTATGTTCACTATGTGCTCACTATGATGACCCCTCTTTATTACAGTGAAGGGATTAACATAAATAAGATGATTGGATGTGAGTAGTCTCCTACTCAGTAATAAGACTAGGCAAAATTTAATTTGCTAGAATGTAAGACCAGTAAATACAATCGATATCAACAGGTGAAGGAAAACAGTTATTGTGCTGAATATTTTTAAAGCAGGACATGTGCTACTTTTTGTCAACAGTGAACTAAAAATCAAATCCTACACCTACATTTTCTGTGGTGGGACTCTTGTTAACCCCTTGCATCAAGCATAAATATAGTTTAAGTCTAGTGCCACTGGTGCAATAGTTGCTTGGCAAATGGGGTAGTATAAAAAGACCCAGTTGAAGCACACCTTGTTTGAAGTTGTCCAGGTTACGGAACTCCACCAGGTTGTTGCCGTAATAATAGTTAGTGATGTAGATCTTGGAGTCTTTAGCCAGGGGATCCTTCATCCAGGCTCCTTCATTGCGCCCATAACTGTGCTGCTTCTCTGGCTGCTCTATTGATGCTAGAGTCCCTTCACAGTTGAGGATCTTCCCTGGAAGAAAGAGCCGAACATTTAATGTGTACATGTGAGAGAAAAAAAAGACTTGCAGTAACATGGGCTCAAACTGATTTCACACTCATACATTTCTAGGCACAATGTTGCTAAATCAATCTCTGTCACTGCAGTCAGCCTGCAACAGAACACCGAACATATTCATAGAGGGGCATTTACACTCCTAATATTTCGACCCTCTCATGTATGTAGCTGGGGAGGACAGAAATATAGAGACACCTCTGAATATAATGTAGTCCAGTGCAACACCACCTTTAACTATCACCTCAATAATGAACATATCATTGAATTAATACATTTATGACAATTTCACCAAAATCTGAAACATTTTGAGCTTCATAAACACAGATGTTAAGGCAGAAATGTTGCAATGAGGTGCATACAAATGTACAGGTGTACCTAATAAAGTGGCCAGTGATTGGAGTACATACCAGCTCTGTGCAGACCGGGCCGACTGTTGTTGTTGGAGTTGTCCAGCACCAGCACTATGGTTGGTGCTGGTCTTTCAGATGCTGGTGTACTTTGTGTGGTGATAGTAGAGGGTGTAGTAGTGGTGGTAGTTGTGCTGCTAGTAGTTGTGGTGGTGGTAGTGGCTGTAGTTGTGGGAACTGTGGTGGCGGTGGCGGGTTCAGCCGCAGTGGCCTCCACGGTTTCCATGATGAATTCAGCTCCTTCATCCTCAGACTGATTTTCTGTGATGTGATGGACTGTGTATGTTTTGGCAGCGTGGTCTGAGAGAGAGGAGAGAAAGTCTAGATTCAGGTCAAGATATAAAACAAGAAGAAGTCTAAGATTGTCAAAATTAATTCATTAAAAATAATGAACAGCTTTGTTGAATCTAAGCTAAATGCTTCAGTGTGTGACTTTGCTGGTCTAAATTATCTTAAGTTTGTAGATAAAATTCAGCAAAGCATTGCGTGTGTATCATCTTTTGGAAAAAATGTTTCTTTCTTCATATTGGTCAGATCCTTGCTTCAATAGTCACTTTTGGTGTTTTGTAAAAAAAAAAAGATAGCTGGTTAATTCAAAGAGACTTAACAGAGAGAAACTCTGTTCTCCTTCTGGTCCTCATACTCTGACATCCTGTGCTGCCAGACAGATGTGAGGAGATTACAGCATTACTACATAAGGAGTGCATCTTCCTGGCACGCATACTATAAACACATGGACCAGATGAAGGATGAAGTAGAAATGGCATTCTGGGAAGCTTTTTATAATTAACAGTAGGAGGTTTCAGAAAGCCTCTTAAGATGATAAAAACATTCAAAGCGTTGCAACCAAACTATGCCAGGTTGAGTGCAGTTAATAACTTGATCTGGACAGTATACAAAATGTGTTTACTAAAGCAGATGGGACAAATATTGTATTCATTTTGTGGCTTTCTTACATACAGATAATTTCAGTCTTCCACTTACTGTTGTAAACAGTCAGTTATCTAGATGCGCTCTGGATTGTTGCAGCCACTGGTAAGCAGGCTGGTAAAATGAGTGTTGAACATTTTTACTGGTCACACTGGGCAGCTTCTGGTAAAATGTGTGATGCTTTATATAAAGTGACAATATATAAAAAGCGTGGAGGTGTATCAACCATTCCTGGACAACTGAAGATTTCCTTCATCTTGCCCTGCAGCCAGCTGGTATCAGTGGTTTGACAAGGGTGGCTGAGCTTACTGGGGTTCACATAAATGGCAGAACACACGGTCTGACAGTGTTATGTACAAAATCCCTGTGCAAATGTAGCATACCAGTCCATTCAGCTAGATTTAAAGAGGTGTGGAAGGAGTCAGGGAATGTTTTTGCTACATTGCTGAGGGTCCCCACACATTGTTGTGAGGAGTGAAGCTCAGGCATGTCATGGACATGGCAGCACTCCACTGAGACAACATTCCATCAGCTCCATGTATTTTGTCAATAAAAGATTTGGATTTCCTGCATGCTACAAGCACACCAGCAGTCCAATCCTGGCCAAGCCATTTTTGCTAAAAACAACACCAGAGTAAATCTTGTATAGAGGGGATTTTGTGTGCCACACAGAGATGGATCCTTTGTTTTATTGCAACACAATTATAGCTCTATCTCACAGTTATGCAAAACAACATTCTCAGGGAAACTTTGTACTGTCCCCTATTAAATCCAGGAAATAAAGATATTCACTGTGTGCAAGGCATTCTCAAAGCCATAGCTGCTGACTGATCCTGATCCAGCAAAGAAACTAATTTGGATTGTTTTCAGCACCCACAGTGGATCACACACAGAGGCAAGTGCAAACTCAGCTGTAGTGTTTTCTGCAGTGTTTTCTTTAGCTCAGAAAGGATGCCTTTCTGTGAATACACCATTATGAACACTGGGAGCATATACAGAGTGACCTGGCCGTGCTGAAGACTCTCACCTCCCTTGTTTTCATCCTCATCTGTCTTGGAAGCCTTATAGTATGTGATGCCCCTCACCACACCGGGTTGGTGGCCAACCATCTTGTCTCTGGCTGTAGGATCAGGCTTGACTGGCTTCCCAGGTTTAATGACCTCTTTCTTGGGCTTCACGACCTTTTCTTTGGGTGGTTTGGGAGGGGGTTTAACTGCAGGTGTCTTTTTGTTGGGCAATTTTACAGCCACGTTGGTTTTTTCATCAGTAGTGTCCTGTAAAATGAAGATTCAGGTTATAAGATGTTAGGACACCTGGCACTGGCTTGTGTCTCTGATATGATGACTGTGCTTATGAAAGTGTTTTATATGTGTACAATGGCTTGTGATATCCTGACTGATAAGGTCCTAGCACTGTGTTAATAGAAAAGACATATTATAAATTGATACAGATACTTATAGTACTATTACAACTGCTAGTAGTGTTAATAGTACTGCCATGTTACTACGGCTAGTACTACTGGTGACACTACTGATACTACTCCAGCTCTAGCAGAAGGGCTGCAGTCACAGACAAGATTAATTTTGAACTCTGCCAATATGGGCAGCTGTGTCTCTGATATATTAATGAAATTAATATTTAACTTTAGATATCTTCTTATTAGAAAGAGTCCTTGAATTCCAGTAAATCATGATATTTGGACAGAGATGAGTGAGGAAGACTTAACAAAGCACTGAATGCATCCTACAGCAATGGAACCCTCATGGTGATTCTTTGTTTTTAACATTGTATTATTAACACCCTGTTGCATTGTTTTAACTGGATTGTACTGGTGCACAGGCTGACAACACTGTGTTTCCAATTATGGCACTATCTAGGACTGGGATGTATTGAGTCTGGTGGAGGTTAATAATCTCCAGCTATCAATGACAAATTCTGTTTTTGTAACCTGTGCTTTGCTTTCAGAGGAGTCTTTCTGTAGCAGCTGCAGGCTGAGGCTGGAGATCTCCTTCTTGATGCTCATCATAATGTTGGAATAGTTTTCATATCTCTGAAACTGGTTGGTCAGGCTCTTCATGCTGTCCCGGACATATTCATTCTCCCGTGTAAGGTTTGTCTTGATTGTCTGTAAGATTACATCATAATTTTCACAGTAATTACTGTCCATTAAAGACATGAGCTGTTTCAAACATAAGCTATTTCAAAGTCACATAAACCTATTCCCAATGCATTTTCTCTTGCCAAATGTTTGAGTATAATTATATGAGGAAGCACATGGGTGGGTGTTTTTTGCCTACCTCTTCCAGGGTGTTCATCTGTGACATCACCTTGTTGATGTAGGAGTGGACTTTCAATAGATCCATGCTGTAAAGGGTTCCCTCGAGGAGGTCCACCATAGATTGGAGCTGCTCATTCATGTCATAAAAAAAGAAGTAGCGTCTTTATGCATCTCTCAAACACAAATCTGACAGCTTTACATGCCCTTGTTTAACTGCAGTAATAGCTTAAGTGCCTTCCCAAAACATTAGCTCTGATTACCATTATTGATATCAGCACTCAGTGGTAGTGGTGTGCTCTCAGTCTGGGGTTCATTCTAGGTCCATCTCAATCATTTTGAACCTTTTCTTTTTAATGGAATAATTTTCTTCAAAGATTTATTGGATCAATCTATAATTTAAAGTGTAGTCAGATGAAACATCTGGAACTGTCTTTTCTTTCATATGGTGCATATCGTGCTTCGCCAGCCTGTAAAAATGAAGGCATGTGTAGAGGTGTGCTGGTGTGTTCACTAAAGACATGTAAAGCCAGGTCACAGAGAGTTCAATATTGATCTTTTATGCTTTTAAATTAGAGGGAGTTTTTATTTCACTGCCTTTTTCTTTCTTGGGCTGCAGTTGACATTTATTTTCATAATTGTTAATCAATAGTTTATTTTCCTGAAGGACAGTTTCTTCCCCCGGGCCATCACTCTCATGAACATTTAATCCATATTTATATGTCTATCAAGATACAGTGCAATAACCTATAGACATAATCACTGTAAATAACAAACTGCTCTTTTTAAATTTGTGTATATGTACACATATTTATCAATAGATTGTTTTTTTTTTATTTGTTATTCTGCGTTTTACTCTCTTTTTATTCCACTTTATTTGGTGTACACTGGGGGCCACTGAACTGGAGTCAGATTCCCTGTATTTTAATATACTTCACAATAAAGCTTGGTTGATTGATCCAGTGTGTTGTCTACAAAAGTGTTTTCTCCCCTAATCCAAAAACAGCAGCAATAACTACTAGTCGGAATGGTGCTACATTTGCTATGGGTATTCATCACTGCCAGAGGATGATTTCCAATAATTTTACCTAGTGCCGCCATTTCAAAATCACAAAGACATAATTTCATGACTCCTAGCGGCCAAATGTGTTCAAAACGAGTGTGAATGTTTAAGACGGAATCTTTCTACAAAAAAAGGCATTCTATGATCATTTAAATCTTTTACATATAGTGGCTTTACGCTCCATCTCACTACCTTTAGTAACTCAGGTGCCTGTTTCTTCAACTTCTCCATCTTCCACTCATTCTCACAGGGGTTGAGGGAGGACGGTGGGGCTGTGCACGAGCACTTACAGTCAGACCCGGAACTGACCGTCTCCACTGTGTAGAAGTCCTCCACACGTACACTGCCGCTCCGCACCCGCAGGCAAGCGTCCTTGCTCAGAGGGCGCATGATGCACTTGCACCGGCAGTCAGAGCCCTCTGATGTCATCCGGACAGGCTCCGTCTCCCCAAAGATCTGGAGAGGGGATCGTAAACTGTCTCATTTTAGAATCCATTTTTAATTTTAGAAAAAAATGTGTCCTTTTTGTGATGACACTATAATTTTTCATGTTTCATTTCTCTTTACTGTGGCACTTACACTTTTATGTATGTATATATAAAACCTGTATATTTATTCAACCCCATAAAATGTGGCAATTTTCAAGGTACAACCTGTACAATGAGCTGTGCTCTTCTGTTCTCCAGTCACCTATTCCATTAATCTAATCTCTGCTGAACTTTTATGAATAATAAATCCATTTCTATTTTAGGGAAACAAAAGCACGGCTAGAAAAGTGACCCTGGAAAACAACCATATGCTTCCTGTCCTTTGAATGTTAGCATGTGTGACTCAGAGAAAAGCCTCTGAGACATAACTCATAAGACTTCTGCATCACCAGCTGCTCTTTGGCTGCCTTGTATGATGACAGTGGTTTGGCAGGCCATTTCTATGGCTTACTAAATCAGTAAGAAGGAAAGCCTGGCAGCATGAGCAGACTGTCCACACAGTTTCAAGTGCAAGCTGGTACACAGTGGACATAGCTTTTACGTAAGACTTCAACTACACACATTTTCAGCATATTTTCTGAAACGTCCAGGTGGTGATGATGAGCTGGCAGATGAATGTCTGCTGTGAACTTAGTGAATTTCTCCAGTTTGTCTATTAAAATCCATCTTTCAATGTTTTACAGTGAAGGACAGGCTAGCCCCAGTAACTGAAGCCTTGTGACATTTGCAAATTGGTTTTGAACAGTGGAACCTCACTGTCTTTCAAATGGGCCCTTGTAGCTCAATTGTTGTTAACTGATCTGAATAAATGTATGTTCAGAATAAAAGCAAAGCACATTTAAATGTGATATTATTGCATATGAAGTTAATGTAAAGATAAAATCGGTTGTACTGGGTGGTGTACATGCATATAAAATGTCTTAATATAAGGAAAGCATGCATTTGCAAAGGCTTTATGACTCCAATTCATAAGGTTACAGAGGACTATCACACAAACACGATTCAGGAAAACACATGGAAGAACTTTAGCTTGTTTGCATCTTGCGCTGAATCCTCTGAAGTCTTGGTCACAAAGTCTTCTCTTAATAATTGGCAAAGAAACAAGCATGCCTACATCCGGGGGAGCATTCTGGACCTGCTGTGCAGTCATAAACAGGTTTTTCTTCACCAAGCAAATGGTCCCTCAGTCTTGTTCAAATCTCAATCAGCTCTAAGGCATAAACTACAATAATGTTTGAGACCACCGTCCTGTGAAAAACAAGTTCACATGGCATTTGTGCCAGTAGCTTATTACGGCAAACAGCAGTGTGTTATAGTTAAGTGCCCTTTAGTGGCAGTAGTAATGACAGGAATAAAGGTGTTAGGTGACGTAGTACACAGACAGACAAATTCCACATTAGGTGAAGGCTGGAGTGGGTGGATGGGTCAGAAAACACAACGCTTTCCCACAGGCGGCTGGTGTTTGATTCCTGTCTGAAACATTGGGTTTTTTCATCCATGACAGTCCCATAACCTTAACCACACATATATTTTTGTAACCATGATGACGAAGGCAGCTTTAATCCAAGCCACTATCTTTTTTTAAACTTAACCAAGTTGGTTTTGTGTGTAAACCTAATGAAACTTGACAGTTCCATAACTAATAATATAACTAACTATATAGTTCCTGGAAATGATGATGGACAAATAAGATGAGATTATTTTTGTAAAACATCAGACTCTCCTCTTCTCTTGTCTGCAGACAAAAATATTTCAAATGAATAAATAAAGTTGTTTATGGTTCTTTTATTAATCAGACCTACTGATTCACTGCACATGTATTAATTTGATGGTGAAATGGAAAACAAATAAAATCTAAAGCATCAATATAAAACAGTGCTGATGTTTTGATATAGCTGCACATCATTCCAATCAGCTGCAGTGTCCAAACACCAACAAACTTCCAATAAAGGGGTGTGTTTGGCTGTTAAAAAAAACATCTGCGGAGGATGGCCTCCTGTATTCTTGCTCAAGGCTCTTCCTCCTCGCTCCTCAGAGCATAAATAAGCACTTTGGAACAACCTTCAAGGAGAAGGACTGCAAAGAGTTCCGGGTCAAGTGAGACTCAAGGAATGATCAAAATCAACAAGTATGGACATTGGGATGTACCCATTGTTTTTCCCACTAACAGCAAAATGCAAGGAAGACCTGCATTCAGACAGACATTTGCTCTACATTAAAACAATGCAAGGGGCTACATTGGTGGGGGTTGCAACGTTTCATGTACCAGTGTGACAATGAAATATGTTCCAGGAAGGAGCAGATTTATGTGTTTAAAGCTTATTAGATGATTAAACACAGCACAGTGGTGTGTATAACTCTCCCACAGGACTGTACAACTCTGGAAAGTTATCATGGCAGCAACTGATTTATCTTTGGTTGTGATGATCATGAGGTACATAGCAGAAATACGGCACAGCCTAAAGGTTTGTCAGTCGGTCTGACAAGACTGATGCGAATGTGCATACGTTATAGGTTTAAATTCATGCATCTTTTCATAGTACTAAAGCATTAGTGTGTCACAGCACCACTGCAGATGCAACAGTGGCATATTGGGTGGCAATATTTTCCAGTGTCCAAACACAAAATGCAAATCATTTTGTACCTGGTTAGCATTGTGTTTAGGCCAATTGATCGGTATAACTGTATATTCCATGGGTGCACCTTAGTGATGGAGAGCTAATCTCACATCATTTAGAGACATGACTGTTGATCATGTGTTTGATCAGACAACTGTTGGGCTGTCATCTGTCCCTGGTGAGATTTAATGACTTCAATAAAAAACAGGACAGGCACACATCTGGTATCACTTCACAGAGATGTTTAATGAATGAGCTGCAGACTTGTCCTTATATGACTGATGCTTGGAGGTAAACTCTTAACTATATAATGACAAATGTAGGACAAATGTACTTCTGCATAACGATAATTGCAGCCATGTACTAACTTTTTGCAAAGTCTTTACAGCAGTATAGCAGTCAGTGCTGTGTCACTTACTGGAAGGGGGCTACAAACTCATCTGCATTGTCTTGCCTACAGCTAATCTGAAATCCCAATAATTTTACACAAAACGGTAATTTACCAGTTATGGGTAGTACTAGTTATCCTGTAAAATGTCATCTGAAGCTCTGGAGGAACTACGTCAAACCTAGTGGTTATGTCACGTCTATAGCCTTGGAGACTGCAAACTGTAATGAGGGAAGGACACTGTTTAATGTCTTTCCCTCATTACAGTTTCAACACAGTGTTGGATGTCTTTTATCAGTGTAATACCAGACCTAGTAAAGGTAAGAGGAAGGAGTGGTGGGTGCTTATTAGTGAAAGAATGCAGGCTGAATAATGGATAGGATGTGGACGTGTGCTATCCCTCATTTACTGCAGACAAACAGCGAGCGGGTCTGATATGGGGCATGACTTCAGTGTGTACAGCCAGAGCAATGCTGATCCATGTCAAGTGAAAAGGTAGAAGGTTGACAAATGCTACAACCACATGAAAACAGAGTGGATTAACAAATTAAACATCTTTAGCAGAGGCTGGTTAACCTCAGCCAAACGTTGACTGCTGCATGGCGACATCAGTTTACAGTAACTTGTTTTAAGTTGGAGAATTCATAGAAATTCCAGTTTGGCAGTTATTGTTCAGTCAAGAATGACTAAACCTTTACCTTGCAGGCTTTAATGCTGGAAGAAGACTTGTTATCATCTTATTATAAAAATCCGACTCACTCCAATCAGACCACTCCTGTCAAATTATATGTGACTAACAAACCAACCAGCATCTCATGCCAAGCTGACCTACCAGCATGAGTACAGACTATTTAACACGTGCTTTAAACTTTGAGCCATTGGCTTTGACCTTTCAAGTGCAGTCAGGTTTCAGGTCAAAAACAGCATGGCTCAAACATGAACTCATGTCTGCACAATGGGGGGGAACAGGGCCTGCATGCTGCAGGGAGCTCTGTTAGATCAACTACTGCACCCTTTAACAGATAACATGCCCTGACACTGATAAAGTGAAACCCCAATTGTGTTAAAGCAGATTGCTAAAAACACAAGATGTGTTTAACAATCGCTGTTGCATAGCCAGAGTGAAGGCGGATTTTTAGTAGCACTGTTCCGTTTTGTCCGCTTCATATAAACAAGGATATCCTGCTCTTTTAGTGCTTTGCCAACTGTTAATCACTGTGTGGTGATAAAGGCAGGCAGTGCAGGTATCCTGTGGCCAAGCTCAGATGTCCAGCTGTATGTGCCAACCTTTTTCAAACACAAACATAAGTGCTGTGGGTCCTATCCATCCCCACCCCCACCTCCCTCTCTCTCTCTCTCTGTGCTTTATGAACTACTTTCCCACAAATGCACCATGAATACCAATTCTAATCACTCTAAAGAACACTAAGCTTGTAATTTTAAATGATGGACTATGCCTTTAATGCATCATCTCCTGTCAAGAGCACTCAAGTCCAAACTGAGGTCCACATTCCAGTCCAAAGTCTAATTAGCAGGGCTTATATTTAACATACTTACTGTGCCACTGTAAAGATTAACCAGGTACAAAGGGGGAATTCTATTAAAACATTCAATCTGGAGATGAACTATGAAGCCAGGAGCTCAGACTTGAAACCAGAACACTGGCATTAGCACAGGGATGTCAAATAACCAACACAACGTGTATCAAGCACTCGTTGGTTTTGGGGCTACACATCTACATTCCTACTGGGTCTGTTTATGTGTCCAGATACTCTTTAAACTTCTCAGTGACTGCGACACATGGCGACACAAAATGAGAAAAAGGCTGATACATAAAATCCTTTATGATATTACTAAACAACTTAATGAATTACTTATGTGAAGCTAGCCACAGTAACAACTCTGGAAAACCTTTGAGCTGGATTTTTACACACTTGGACATTTGATTTGATCTGTGATTTATGTCCCAAGAAATCAAGCTGTGAATATGGCTCCATATTCATCAGCACAGAGACACTTCCCTAATTATTAGTGTGTGTCTCTGTGCCTCAGCCACGAGTGGAATGACAGATGTTGCCAGTCGCTTTCCCCGAGATGATTTGCTACAACAGATGGGAGATGTAACAAAGCTGCAGAGTTGATCACTGATAGACACTGTACTCTGCGGTAAAGAGCAAGTGCCAACAGAGATGACAGTTAATCAGTAAGTTATTGCAGATGCTAATACTAGCCAATTATAGGAGTTAATATTGGGATGTTCTTTGCTAATTAAAACCTAGTAATATTTGTTTATCCATCCATTTTCTATACTGCTTAGTCCCAAACGGGGTCACGACCAACGGCAGGGGAGAGGTGGGGTACACCCTAGACAGGTTGCCAGTTCATCGCAGGGCCAACACACAGACAAACAACCACTCACACACACAAGCACTCCTACAGGGGATTTAGAGACACCAATCAACCTATGCTGCATGTCTTTGGGAGGAAGCCGGAATGAACTCACGCTACCACAGGGAGAACATGCAAACTCCGCACAGAAAGGCCCCGGGTCGGCCAGGGCTCAAACCTGGAACCTTCTCGCTGTGAGGCAACAGCGCTAACCACCGCGCCACCATGCTGCCCATTTTTTTGTTTATGTCACACCCAATTAGCATTCAAGTTAGAACACAAATGACAACATAATGCAGTGTAAGCACAGTATTTTGTTGTCATGCATTATCTCACAGGAAGTAAACGGCAACCAACTCATCCATCTACCCAACCTCCTCCCAGCATGAAATACAGTGTCACCTGGCCTCCTGCTTTGGTCCTGTTTGAGGGCATCCTGAAATGACTGATGGTCTCCTCTGAGTGCTAGATGTTGCATAACTAAGAACCTGCTTGTACAAATGAGCTGTGACATGTGCTTCTTGTTTAAAGTTAGGCAAGAAGCTTGACATCACTCTCATATCTGTTAAATATAAAGATACTCGCAAACTGTTAGCTGAGTATAAAGTTTAGTATAACTTTAGTATAAAGAGTTAAGAAGGGGAATATGGATGACAATGTAATGCAATTTGTGTAATCACAAACCATGATAAGTCTTTCCTCATCAATATCACGCCCTGCAGGCAAGACATGGTCTTGTCTGAAAAATATGGCTATGACCTTTTTCTCATCCCAGACAGAATTAAGTCCTTCCTGCTTACACTACATGTGTAAATATTCTGTATATACACAGGTGCATTTAAGGGCTTAAGATGGACTTTTTAAATGAATGACCTTACACTTATGCATTGCCTCATGTTAAACTCAGAGGCAGACTATACAACAAAACACAAGGCTCCAGAGCTGTATAAGATCCACAGTCCAGATGGAGATGTCGCCTGAGAGCAAATTCATGACATTTTACAGAGGACAAGGACAAGGAATTGGTATATATACAGTAGACAGAGACAAGTGAAATGAACAACTTATCTGGGACTATACATCTTACTCTCAAGTAATGGGGGATTTGGACAGAGGGGGGAAAGACCAGAACCGTGGTGGAGCTGTTGATTAGTTAAAGTTATAAAACCTATGTGTGAGAGAAAAGCGTATAATACAGGATCCATGTTGACCATTTGGCACCAAAGCCACACAGAGTGAGACCTGTCAAAAACCCCAGTCACGTGAAGGGATGCACACCTCGGGCAAATGGCAACTGTTGAATTGTTCACACTGACACTCAGTTTTTCCCAAGTCATTAGGTGGGCTTCCATCCAGCTGTTTTATGTGCATTGTCAATTAGCACATAAAACCAGAGTGGAACTTTTTACTGAGGTGGAAAAGTTGACGCATCAACAAAAGCAAAATGCAACCAAGTGCTGTGGAAACAGACGCAGTGAATTAATTATGTTCTACAGAAATCATATCACAGAACAAATCTGGGTGGACAGACAAGGAGTGTAACGTTCCATAAAACAAACAGAAACACCACATTTCCATTATTTGTTCTACATTTTTCACTGTTTGAGGTTTGGTGCTCTTTAAATTTCATCATTGTGGCGCCCCCTTGTTCTGCAGTGGTTGGCACCTGACGAAAAAATCTGGACCAACCAACTCCTACTATTTGCACAACAGGGGTGGATTGAAATGTGCATTCATTCGCTTTTTATTTTGCAGTTTTTCTAAATTAAAATGTGCCCTACCTTTGCAAAGAAACTCACTTATTGCCTCAGTGTGAAAGTGGTCTTTTAATGTCATTTCAATTTTAATTTCAGTCTCATTCAGCAGTCTGATTATAGCTACGCGCACTTTGCCTGCTGAAGTGACTCAAATCCATTTTTCCCCCTGCCAACTGATTCGGAATTGATCGTTTCAAGGATGTCTAAACAAACCAAATTGGACTTTTTAAAATCAAATCTTGGGCCACTTCCCTATTTGGTCCTAGATCCTAACAGACTGCAATTTGTGTGTGTTTTTTTTTAAGTCTCACTCCTCTGTGCATACATATATTGCCTGTCGTCATCGTTCAGTGGTGGGCCCTCACAGGCTGGTAAAAATAGAGGAGAGCAACAACAGCACCAAGGACAACTAATTTGTAATTTGTTGAATATTTACAGAAAAGCTACTATTCAAGTCAAACTGGAAAGAACATACTGTAACCAAGCAGTTTTTGAGGGAATTATGCAATTTGAACATCACACGAATGATGTTATTGTTGTTATTCTTGTGAGCATGTGGCTCAAGTTTCAGTTAAATTTGTGCATGTGTGGCAGTTTAGGATGTCACAGGTGTTCAAAGCAGAGCTGGACACATGTCACTTACAAACATGGATGTGAAACGTCAATAAGGAAAAGGTTGGGTCTGACAAAATGATTGGAAATGAGCATCAAGGCCCAGTTAAACAAAGTCTAACTGGCACAGTGTAGCATGACAAACTACAATTTCATGCACACTCTGGAGCCCATCTAAGGCATCAAGGGCACCATAGCCTACAGCACCTATATGCGTATACAGTACATATTTAATGAAGCCTGTCCCTGCTGCTGTGATTGCCGTGGTCTACACTATTGTTTCACAGTAGCAGACTGAGACTTTTTCTCTCTAGGCCCCAGCTGACCTTGCACTGATTGTCCTTGAGCTTGTTTACAACCAAAATCATGAAGCAGGTGCCTGCGCTGGTTCCCACGCCACCCTCTGGTGCCCTACATGCCCTCCTCTAAACAGGCTTTGTCTGTCAGTAATGTCACCAGTCTAGCTGCAGAGACGATGACTGTGGGCCTCCTGTAGCCACGAGACTGGAACTGTGATGCTGCTGCTGCTTCTGGGGCATGGTGTGTGAGGAATCACATGGCATGACATGTAGTAATGTGAAATAAAGAAACGTATTAAATATAAGTCTGTGATATATAATAATACTACTGAGAGCATATTTATTGTTCACGAGGTTAATGTCTCACTAGTTACCTATATAAAGCCTGTTACCTTTTATGATTCTGTGTCATTTTGGCTGAATTCATCATTATAGTTTATATAGTTTAGGCCCAAAACTTTGTTTAAAAAGCTTTTCTGTACTGAAAATAATCCTGTTTAGGAGACAAATGTAATCATTTTGATTCTGAGGAGTATTGCTATTACTGCTAAAACCATTAATATAACTCCTACTGCTTCATCTATCAAATACCTGACCCTGCTACTGCTATGACTGCTATTAGATGTACACTACGTGGCAATAATACGTGTGTGGCCACCTGAACATTACAGCCATATGTGTTTGTTGAACATTTCAACAAAATGGCCATTAATGCGGTTCTCCAACCACTTCCCACCATATTTTGGAACCTGGCTGCAAGGATTTGTTCTCATTCAGCCACAATCATATAAATGAAAATGTTGAATGAGGTTGTGGTCAGGGCTCTGTGCAGGCCAACTGAAGTTTTCTGACACCAAACTGTGGCAAAATACAGTGGTACCGGCCCGTGTGGGGGCCCTCCCTGACAGACCTGATGGACGCCCCAGAGCCTGGGTCAGTCCTCTGCCCCTTTCTAAAATGATTGTAAACTGCAGCATCAAGCGTTCTCTTCATCTGAACTAAGGGCACAGAGGTGGACACATACTTTTACCACAGAGCAGACCTTTACATCTCCATCTCCTTTTACATCAACCTCTGCCACATGCTACCTCTACCAGTGTTGTTGTTGTTAATAAATAGGACTTCAAACACTATGAATTCTACTGCCACTTCCTGTCAATAATACTATAACTAGTACTATGGAGGGTCCAGTCTTCACTGACCTACATTGCTGCTGATATGGCCTCTCTGATTATATGCAGAGCAGGCAGTTGTCAACTTGCCCATAGGCGACACAGCCTCTGGTCTTCATATATAATGTATACAATGCCTGTGTTTTACCTTCTAGCAGTGTGTGTGTGTGTGTGTGTGTGTGTTGAGCTGGAGTAGGCTAAGGGAGAGTTACCGGAGTCCAGCAGCTGTACAAACAAGGGCAGTGAGATATTACTGTCCACCCCATTAAATGCCACCTCTCCCACACTCTGCTGGCATCACTGGATCACTTGTGTATCATTACCCAAACCTATTGTTACTCATGTCACACAAAAGCCCTCATTTGGAGGATTACCTTGAATCATAAAACATGACATATAACCTGAACCATCTGCAGCCTTAAGACAGAAAATGTAATGGTCTGCCTTAAAAAAATGTTTGCATTGGCCAAGGTGCTTATTTGTCTGAAGCATAGGTAGCATGCAAACATGATGCAGGTAAGAGGTGAGGCTGAGCAGAACAGGAGTGAGGAATGACATACTGTTGTGACAATGATGCAACACTATCACTGAACAACACGCCAAAGTACAATACAATGCAGTAAGTATATGAAAACCCTTTAAAATAAAGTTAGTGATACTTGTTTTTAAGCCCACCTTATTCTGTGAAGACGCAGTCTTACAAAACACCAGCAGACAGGCGAACAAGTTCGTGTATCTCCACATTTTCTCTCCGGAGTGGCGTAAAGTTCAGTTCCCAAGCGGCAGTGTCACTGCATTCAGCCAATAAATTAAAGTAGCGCTGTCTATTTTAAGTCCATATCCACACCACAAAGGGAGGATCATACAGTAGGAACCGCGGATGTTGCGTGTGTTTTCTGTGGCGTGCGCTCTGTCTCCACCGCGCGTTCTGTCGGTGGCTCCGTGTGCTTCTTCTGTCACCCGCTGTCCTGCACCGCTGGGAGGGGTTAACGCACCAGGACGCGCTCCGACAGTGTGGATTCAGCTTGTATGGGACGGCAGGGCTTAGCAATAACAACCTAATATTAATAATAACAACAACAGAAGTATCGCATAATGCTACATTTTTAAATTAAATTGGCTAATGTATGTGTTTTTACCATTTTAAATTTAGTAGGCTTTTAGACTGCTTCAGGACGGCAGCACACTTTGGGCAACCTTATAAGGTTGACGGGCTGGTGGCGCCATCAGCTGGTCAATATTTACCTTGCAACTCCGTCACAGTTCGGAAACGTGCTGCTCAGAGACTGGACACAAAATCTAATTTATTTGCCCCGCACATCAGTATTTCTATAGGCATATATGCCCCAAAACAAATGGCAATGCGTTATTGGTAGTCCAATCCTTTCCTGTGGAATACCTACTACGTGTAATTAACAGCACCTTATCTTACAGGCTAATAAAATTGTTAGGCTACACAGACTTTAACATGAGACTGTTTGGAGCAATTTTTAATTATACTACTCAGTACACATTATTCTCGCATTATTCTCAGATCCCCAAGACATAACATTCCATATGTTGATTATCCTTGTCACTGCCTATCCTGTAGGCTGTTTGATAATCCCGTTTTCATATGTTTCTCCCTTCATCATGTGCACATAATAGATTGTATTGTGAAGCAATTTTGTGTGTAAATCATTTAATACTGGAGTATGTAAACTGTAAAATTACAAATAGCCTAATGCCAACGTAACAATGTCAACATATCGCTATTAAAACAAATATTTAGACTGCTGACGAGTTGGCACACTGACTGCTGCTGCTTTTCTGTTTAAGCTATTCCAGATGAGATGCACTGGCTTCACTCCAGTCATGGACTTTAGTGTTGAAACACGTAGGACATTCTAAAACTATTTAAGGGAGAACCTGAAGGCAGCTCGCTGCAGGTCAGCAAAGTGAAAACATACACAGGTCAGTGCCACAGGGTGACCACCGGAGGGCAGTACGGACCGGTAGGCTACACACTCACGACAGAAGAAGAACCTCATTTCGAAAACGAATGAAAGTTGGTGCTAATGCGGAATGTGCACTGTTTTCTTTTTTACATGCACTGTTACTTGTCAAATATGAGTTTGCAAGTAGCATAAGCTAATGAAAAGGCTAATAAGATAATGTAATGACCCCCGGGGTGGAGGAGAGAGACTAGCTACACTGGTACAGCTAAACCAGCTAGCAGGGCGCTAGCACCTGTGCTAATCTTGGTTAGCGATTATTCCAGGTCCAATACACCGCACGACTCTGGATATCGCCTGGACGTGTCTTTTTACAATGATCACAATGCAACACTGCTTTCTCTGTCATTTATTTAGAACCGCATAAAGAATCACTGTTCCCTCAGGGTCAGTCTCACACATACAAGCCAAACTGAAGGTCCAAAACACAGCACAGCAATTAAATTAGTAACATCATCAGATAACACACCAGCATAAGTCAGCAACACTAACGCATAAGAACACTTTAACTATAATTCTATAACTGCTCCATATCGTATCATACCGAAGAGCAGACAAATGGACACGAAATAGCCAAACTGAACTATAACTGCATATAATTAAATGCCAAAAAACACGTCTTTTTATACTTATCTTAAAATATAGCCGACTTACAATTAGGTCAGCCTATACAATTAAATAGTTTAGGCCTACTTATACCTCAGGCAGTATGATAAAATGTTATTCTAGCCTGTTGTGTTAAAAAACGCACAGGACTAGCTATGCAGCAAATTCACTAAAGTTATTTATTCCACTCTACTAACTTTACAGAAATCATGTAAATCGCCATCTGTATTAATTAGTTAGGACAAAAGTAAGCTGTTTAATTTTGGCTCAGTTTTTTGTAGTGGTGGTGGTGGTGGCTGAGATTATTTTTGAACCGTAACCTTCTTATTTTATTGTAATTTTTTTTATTAGTTAACCTTGCTATTAATGATTTGATTTTAAGTTTTTATTTTAAGGGGGAGTATTTTCCTTTTTTGGCTTAACATTTGAACATTATTCAGTGAGGTTACTGAGTCAGCTTTCGAATTGGATGTAAATTCCGCTGTTCCCCACTGTCCTCGCAGTCCCTGAACGCATCATCCCACTAACTGGAGGCACAAGGCTTCAGCCTGGGACGTCGGTTCGAGCACTGAGCCAGACAGGCTGAGCACAGGGACACGGCAGCGCAAGCCTTTTCCCTGCACTATCAGCATCTCCATTTCTGTCATCTCATCATCATTAACAGTGTGCAGGTTTTTCGTGGCGGTGAGTGGCGACGTCGGGCTGACTCGGGATCAGCCCATGCAGGAGGATGGAGATAGAGAAGAGGACGAATGGGTTCGACTACACTGAAGGAAACAACGCCAAGTCCGTCAGCGGTAGGCAAACAACCCCGAGCATACATGTCCTCACGCACGCACGCACGCACACACACACACACACACACACACGGACCCGGACCCTCTGCTGCTGTCAGTGAGATGATTACACATTTCCACACCTCCAAGCATAACAGCGTGCTCCCATTATTTGTCATTATCAGAGCATCCACCACTGCTGCGTGAGCATTCACAGGCACTGCAACCCTCTCTCAAAGCACCTTCTCAAAACTATAGATAGGCTTCAGTGGAAACAGGAAAGGCAAACGCAATGTGCAACCAGAAGGCTATTTGTCTTCATTTATAGGCCTATCTGCTGAAATGAGGTTTAATCCATCAAATGTTAGTCAGCAAGTGGCGTGAATGTCCTGCAGCCACACGAGAGAATGGATTTGGAATGTAGTGTGCGCCAGCGTCAGTGGAAATGATTGAAATGATTATCATTCCTGAGTGTTTGTTTCTTGAGGTGTGTGATAGCAGCTGGGCTCACTGAGAACAGAGGTCGGAATGTTTTTATTTGGAGGTGGCCAGTCAAGCTCGGGGAGATCGTAAAAGGTGAACTTTTGAACTTGGAGAACGCCCTGAAGCCTTTAGTGCGTTCGTTCCCAAAGTGCATGCGCTGCACATGACGGGAGAGATGGGCTGAAGACAAGGTGCGTTTACAGCCGGTTGATTTTCACCTTTATCTCCACTGTAACCAACGGATCTCCCAGGTCCAAACAAATGGAAGCCCCACAATACCTTGTAGCAGCAGCGTCTGTCCCAGGCGCCAGTCCCATATCGTGCCCCCATGCGGCTGACTGAAGATTTAGGCTATTGACATTCCAAGATTAAAATTCCTCTGACTGTGCCTGCTCTGGGCACACTCACCCTGACTGATGCGGACACTGATTGGAAGGTCTGCGTGTGTCACTGGGATGAATTAATGAGCTAACTGGTAATAAATATAGCAGAAGGCCTGCAGGAGTAGGGATGGATTTGTCATGTCGAGAAAAGTTTAGTGGTTCTGTAAGCGTGGTGTATACATGGAGCATCTTAAATAAAGTGGCTGACATCACCATCAGGCACCCCCCCTGCATTTTAATGGACAAAAGAACAAAGTATTCAAATTGAAACAATAGTCAACAGGTTAATTGAGTTTAACTAATCAAAAGCAATTGTCTCATTGTTTCAAATCTTTCATGGCAAAGTGTAAAGAAGTACCAATGCATAAATGACAAAATACAGACACATAAATGAATGAACCAGTGGACAAAGGATGTTTCTTAAAAGTTTGATCAACCCTCGAGTTTATTTTCAAATCACCAATTTGAATAATTAGCAATTTCAGTAACATTTCCTGTTTTTGATAAAATAAGATTCAACAAATGAAGAGCACTTTAGCTTGGGATTCTTTTCATATATTGGAGAACATGAATATCTGTCATTTTCTTGATCTATTAACAGTACAATGAGTCTGGGTGAGGATGGCCTTTTTAAATAATTATCAGTTAATCGTATAAATAATTTTCAGACTAAAATTCTACACGCTGTACTTCAACCTGAGGATTTACAATGTTTTTGGTCTTAGAAATTGCAGATGTTTTGGGCTTTTGACTATTTTACATTTCACTTAACTGAGACAACAGTCGGTGAATTAATGAATATAATCCTTAGTTGCAGCCTTTAGAAGAAAGACAGTGTGGCAGATGTTAAAGTCCAGCTGGTGAACCCACAGACTGAAGTGCAGATGTGTTGGCTGTTTAAGCCTTGTTGTCAGTTCGCATTGTTTGATAGAAACAAAGCAACCAAATCCTTCTTCCATCCTCTGGATGACACAGTCACGTTTGAAGAACAAACTCAATTTCCATTGATCTTTGAATTGACCAGGAATTTGCCCCCCATCCCACACACACACACACACACACACACACACACACTCTCTGTGCTCACTGAAGTATTCTTTCTTTAATGCAATTGAATTCAGAGGAAGAAGAAGGAGTAGAAAGAAGGAGGAAGACAGGTTGGGTGGAGGGCTTTCACTATTTGTGTAAATCCATGTTTGGGCCTCAGGGGTTTGCAGCCTGGCACGGTGGGGCAGATAGGCTGAAAGAGAGTGCTTTGTCAGCCCCTGTTCTGGCTTGGAGGGGGCCTGTCCTGTCCCTTGGGGCAGGGTGAAGGGGATGGTTGGCAGTGGGTGGGGCAGAGACAGGATGCAAAGCCCCCTGCTGTGAAGCCTGAATGATGAGCCAGGAGGAATACAGTAGAGGAGGAGGGGCTGCTTCTGGCGAGTGGAGGAGGGTGGGGGGCCATGCAGGCAGATGTGATCCATCATGTCATGGATAAAATAAATTGGGCCTAAATTTAACCTCCCAAAACAGACTTCAGCCTGAATTTCTAATTACATGTGGGCCCCCTTTTTGTCCGTGTATGAAAAGCATATTCATTGAATGTTTTTGATGGAAATATTCTTAGAAAGTTACCAAAGTTAAATTCTATAAGAATATTTAGCACACACAACAAATTAGGGTTGCAACTAATAACTGCTCCATTATCAGTTCATTTGCAGGTTATTTGTTGGGTCTATTAAATGTCAAATAACAGTTTAAAAATTGCCAATTTCCCACCGTCCAAGGTGACGATGAGATGTTTTGACTGGTGTTTCTAGCTTGTAATTGTACTGAGAAAAGCAGCACAGCCTCACATTTGTGAGAATGATTGGCATTTTTCATTTACAAAGGCTTGAAACAAATATCAAAATGGTTGCTGAATGATGTTAAGCCAGTCTGATAACTGCATTAATAAAAAAAAAAAAAAATCATTGCAATAACAAATTTGTGGTGAAATAAGATTAGACTTAAGAAAGCCTAATCCTGATTCAACCTAAATATGTTTTGGACTAGCTCTGCAGGTTGTGTAGCTCCATACAAAAGATTAAACTGTTCCTTTTCTTAAAGCAACTGTAAGATTAATGGGTTTCTTTAGGCAACTGACATTCTTGAAACAGGGAATATCAGCAACTGGGCTCCTGTTGTGGTGATTAATTAATTCATTTATTTATTTGAGGCAAAATTAAGTGGAAACTGAAAGGTGGCACTTTAATTTGTCACTAGTTTCAAATGTTGTAAAATGAAGGCGTAAATCTTAGGACATTCCAAGATCATTTGAGGTTCAGGGGAACTCTTCTGCCTGGCTGATAAGCATTTCAAACTAAGTGATTTATCTCAGTATGCTCCACAGCAGATGGTTTTTTCGCTACCATTTTAAAGCCTTAGTTTTGGTGAATGAAAGGCTTTTAAAGTGTCATCAGAACGAGGACCTGTAGGTACTGGAGATGTCAGAGATCAGTGAAAGAAAAGTAAAGGTTTAGGCTTGATCATCTGATCCTGGAATTTATTGGAGTTACGTATTCTATCTACAAAACAAACAAACAATAAAAAAGCAGGCCAAACTAATTATTTAGAGTTGTACTGATCTTTTGGGTTTCATTTCACTGGTGCATAAAAAGCAATAAACAAACAAACAAATAAATAAATAGCACTGACATGACAGTAAAATAATCATTGTTAAAGAATCAAACTTCAAGCAGAAATGTTTCAAGGAGCTTATGTAGCCACAAACAAATGAAACATTAACTTAAAAAAACTCTGTCTTAAAAAGTATTTCAAGACACTGATCCATTGAAAATCTTGTCACTTTATTTAACCACCTTCTTATTTGTCGAATTATTCGTTGTGCCAGAAACTACTGTTGTCACTTTTTTGTTTGGTTTTGATCCCTTTAAAACAACTGGTATGTTTTGTTCTTACTCCTCTAAAATTCATAGGCATTCCTTTTCACATGCCTTGGTTTTCTGAAGGACTTAATTACAATTCTCTTCTGACCATAGGGACTGGAATATGACTAAAAGTCATATATTTCAAAATGAAGGGCCACCTTTAGCTTGATAATGACAAATGTGATGATAATATGTTTTCAGAATGTGATCATTTCCTTCCTTGTGTTTGTTTGTTTGTTTTAGTTTATTACTGTATGACCAGCTCAGAACTGGTCATTGTAGCTGTTGAGTTCAGACAAGATGAAATGTGTGATTGATGTGAGATGATTAAATCTATTTTAGTAACAGATTAGTCATTTAGATACTACATTTGGTTTACTGTACTTCTCCATTTCAGATCCATGTTCATCATATTTAATCTTGGCTTTCATAGTCTTAACTGAGCTTTTTTTTTTTTTTTTACTGCGAAATAAGAGTAGCAGTAAAAGGAAACATAATCTTTAGAACTTTGGACTTTTTCATCATGTTCACAGGGGAACAAATGGACCTATATTTTAGAAAGATGTGAGGACGCATTCAAAGACTAATATGTACATAATTGGATCATTATAAGGCGGCAGGGTTGTGAGGAGTGATGCCAGTGTTGCTGAGGAGGGCTTGCGTGTCTCCGAGAGGTTTGGGGACTGATTATCCTTCACCATGATGCTGCTGTTTCTCGGCAACTTAACGTTTTGTGGGCTCAGAATGAAGGTAGTCAGATGGGCATGCAACAGCAATGATAGAAGGGCAGCAACCCACACTCGACACAACACTACACTGAACCCATGCACGTCAGTTTCAAATCCTCCTGTTCTCTTGTCTCATTAGTAAGTCATTCAGTCAGGTTGGATATGAACCGATAAACTGTAAATCTGTGATACTAGTGCAAAAATAGTGTCTGAGTTTTGGTGTTTTTTCCAAACTCCTGAACTTTACTAATGTGAAATGTTTTGTCCCTCTGCATAAAAACATGTATTATCAGTGCAGAAGTACTGCACCAGGATGAGGTGATTTTTTTTTTCTTTTAAATTCTGATAGCACTTACTACTAAAGTATTAAATGACATGCATCTTTATAAAAATGTGATAAAAATGAAAGAAATGGGACCCTTGACGTCCACAGTGTGGAGTCACCCTTCTAATATGACTCCTTTTTGTAGATACCACTAATGTTAGATTTGTAAAATAGTGTGAGGGTGCAGCTA